GGCACAAGTGATGTCAGTCTTTCAGTCTCAGATGCCCTTAAGGCACACAGAGGGGAGAGATGTGGTGTGCATTACAAGTTGCACTAAATAATTTACAAGGCACGCGTGGGTAATGTCATGACCTAGATAAAGAGCGCACTTACTGCTTAGGTCTCCAAGTCACCGACTTCCTGGCAGTTTAGCAACTGAGGCTTTAGGAAGCCAGATGTGATGCTAGGCTGGCCCCTGCGCAAGGAGTACCAAGCAGGAAAACTATAGCAATTCTGCAGCAGGCCAGAAAGAACAGGCAGAGGTAAGCGTTCAGTCAGAATGCGAGCCGAGAGAGAAGCAACCTGTCTGCTAGAAAGGGTTCAAGAGGAACAGGATCTTGGCCCAATTTACTTCAACCAGAAGTTAGAGCAGAGAAACTGCTGCAACAATGAGGTGTGGCTGCTCCCAGCAGGTCTGTCTCGTGGTACACGCACCAAATGCTTCAGCAGAAGGATGAACTGCTGGTCAGAAGGGACCAAGCAGCAACAAAGCCTCATGGCACGTACAGAGCCATTACTCCCTGTGCTTCACACTGCTGGCATTTGCCTTGAGACGCCTGAAAAGATACAGATCAGCCTCTTGCCAAATACACAACATAAATCTCCTGTAAGTTTATGACCCTTGTCTCAGAGTTTCAAGACAGTGCTGCAGCTCTGGACTCTACCACACATTAGGAGACGGCTACAGAAAGCTCACAGACAGCGTGACGGATGGATTGTCAACAGACTTTTTTTTTTTCCCAAACAGACATTTCAGTGATATACTAATCTCTTCGGGAACTAAAGCTTTCCAGCCCCTGCACAAGGCATACATCCTAGATGCAGCACATGTAGCAGAGGAGCTGCTCTGGAATTTATATTTTACTTGAGGCACTAAATCCATCCATACCCATTTCTGTAGCAAGACAGCAAGATACCATGAAGGCTCAATTCCTCCCTTCCTGGATTAGTCCTAATAGCTTCAGCTAGATATTCTCCCCTTCACAAAAAGCTCAGTTTATTGCCGAAGGGACTTGATATATAGGACTTTCCAGAGTTCTGCTTTGCCCCTTAGTTCTGTAGTTAGATTAACTGGTAGGAAAGACAGAATGCTTGCCTGTCCCACTTATTCTCATTATAAGACCAGCTGCGCTTGCTGCTCTGAGAACTGCACAGTAAAAACCCTTCCTCTTCAGATTTTATTTTATTTCTGGTAGTAGCCTAGTATTTTTATTTCAGACAAGGAAATAACTTCTCTGCTGCACCAAAATAATCTTCCGAAAAGCAAAAGTGTCAATTACTTGCAGTTTTTCAAGAAGATAAATTGGAATGTTTTATCAGTTTCACCTCTAAAGTAACCAGTACTCATAGATCTAATAAATTATGTTTGCAGCCCAACGAGAGCAGAGGCAAAGATAGAGACTGAGCGTGATATCTCGAAAGCGGAGCAGCCACTCGTGGTTCTAGTGTCATCTAGTGGAGACAGGTTCTTGCAACATTTCTTTGCTTTTTGCTTAAATCAGGAGAAATCTCTTTCCATAAGTCACGAAGGACCACAATGAACTGACAGTTTCCAAATGAACCCAAAATAGCAGTCACAGCAACCCAAGATTAATGGGTGTTTCATTGTATAAGAATCCATAAAATGCCATTGCAAGGGACTCTCTAAAAGGAAGCATTTTCTTCCTCAAATATAATTTGACTGGGGTACAAATTAAATCCCTAAGTATAACAGCAATTAAGACAATAGCTCAGTGGGGGGGGTGGAACTCCAAAATCAAGAATTAGGTTTCTAAAGACAGCTTCAGTCACTACAATCTGGGGGCTGCCTAAAGTAGCAGAAGCCAGACTTGGTTACTCAAAAGGTCCCTTCTAACCCCGACTCTGAGGCAGCCACTCGTGTCTATTTTAACCCCTCTAACGAGGCATTTTCTCCTGTGCTACCCTGGACCCTTTTGCGTTTGCATTACCAATTATGCAGTGTCCTGTGCACTGTCTGCCATTCCAAAATCCTTGTACAACTCTGCAAATGCAGGAGATTCCCACAGCCAGATTTGCACACTTGCTGCCAGGCAGGTATCTAAAATGTTCCTCATCCCACTAGCCCTGAAAATAAACTTGAAGTGAAGTCCCCACCACTCTAAATGCAGTGGATCCCTTCTCACCATTTCAGTCTGTAGACAGCTCTCCTTAGACTCTGCTCTTTTGGGTCTTGTTTCCAGCTCCTATGACTTAAGGGCACAGGTTTTCAAGAGACAAAAAATGCCATATTTGACTACAGATTTCTTGACTTATCCAGTTAAAATGTGCAAGGCAGGCACCAGTCTCTTACATACTTTTTTTGATTCATTCTTTTAAGCTACTGTAGCTACATTTGCATAATATCATTACTTTGTTCTACTCACTAGACACTGAAGCTGTGCGCCACAACAAACAGTCAAATGATTTGAGAATCGCTGTCCCACAGTTGCTCAGTCTCCTTTCTAAATTTCAAACGACACTTTGTTTCATGTGCCCTAATAAGTCCCCCGTTAATAAGCATACACAGAGAAGTTTCTTGCAATCATTCCCTTGCAATGCAGATCAGCAATTCTGTAATGAATTCCCTCACCAGCAACATTATTGTGGGTTGGCTATGAATTGTACCTGCTTTCACAATTTGTTAATAGCCTCCCCATTTAAGGTTATAGCACTTAATTATTTATCTGGTTTGCTATTAGCAAAATTTACCCATTTCCTCTTTATTCACGGTCTGCTACACTAAGCAACTGGATTTCTATTCACTGTGGCTAGAAAAAAAAAAATCTTTTTTCTAAAAGATTTTATAAAGGACATTTGTGTAACATTCTCTCTGCCTAGAATAATATTATGGCGGCATTCTTAATTGGTTTAACTTCCAAGCAGCAAACTACATTTTCTGCACAGCAGGCTACCTAACGCACAAATCCATTTTCACATTCATTCCTCAGCAGAGGGACATATTATTAATCCCCACCCCCTGCTAGCAAAGTCAGCACCAGCCCTGTAATCTCAGTCTTGTATATGTGAGGTCATGCCAAGCCAGACCTACCTCTCCCAAAAGCACCCAGGTCACCTCCGGCTTTTGCTGAGCTGCAGTCGCTGAATTGGGAAGCCAGAGATTCAAAGTCCTCTTCTCCCGATTTAATCTTCTGGATGTAGCCTGTTGACAGAGACAGCATTTAGCCATCAGAGCAAAGAACAGGGCCAAGGGAGGGGAATGTTTATAAAGAGAAGGGAGGACAAATTTAAAAAAGAATGTTCATTACTGAGGAGTGTTTCAAAGGTGCTGCTTTTGCTCTGCATGGCATCTCAGAGACCCCTTTGTCCCAGCACCCTTCAACAAGAGGCAGAAAACACCACTGTAGAAGTGCCACGGATCCAAGGAATTAGCACAGCAGCTCAAGGTTTTCCTCTTCCATTGCTTTTACTGCCAAACAGTGGCCTGCTGCTGCACAGAGCCATGGCCAAGCTGTACATGCCAGTATGACTCTGCCACCTAGCGTGTTTGCATTACAATGTAGCTGATCACGTAATTACCATTTCACAGATGCTCATGGAGTGCCTTTTACTGGCTGCACTGTGCACTCCAGACAAGCCCCTGACAGTCATTTATCAGACATGCCACAACCAGTTTCAGTAGAGTTACTTCCCCAATTTCACTCGCTGTGCCCCAGTTCTACAACCAGCAACTATGGGACCCATCTCCCAGCAACTCTCACCTCAGATGCCTTTTCACTACTCAACCAAGCATGCACAGCAGTCTACATTGCAAAGTGCAGTGCACGCGAGAAGTGAAGCTTTCAAAGCACTCGATTTAAATCAAGTCAAAATTAACTTCCATCACAACACTCAAAAGCACTTCTCATCAAGTGCTTTTTTTTCCCCAAGCACATTCCAATCTTCTTCATGTCTGGCCATTTCACTGCAAGCTGTTCACTGCAAGGAGGGCTGCTCTTTTAAGTGTAGAAACTCATCGCTGTCCTTCAAAAGCCAAGAATGTGTGTTCAAAAAGAGATTCACCCTTGGAAGAAAAGTGGCCAAGCATAAAATTTTCAGCTAAATAAGTGAAAAATTGAGAAAGATGTGGGGCCTTTAAAATATCTGCACACACTTTACTATGTAGCTTAGTACTGCCAGCACCTACATTAATTTGCCCTTCTATCCATGAAACAAAAAAAACTAGAACCCTCTTCATCTTTCAGATCACTCCTTCAGACGGGCTTCTTAATAGTGTTTGACTGACTTCAGAGGGTGCAGGCTGCCAACACAGGGCATCAACAGCATTTAGTCAAAGACAAGCAGAACTCCCAGTTTCAGACATCTCTGAATATTGCCACAACAGCCCGTATTTAATGGCTCTGAAATCATTAATCTGAGCAAAGGGTCTGAGCATGAACAGCTTAGAGCAGTAGTTCTCAATCTTTTTAAACAAAGGGCACCCCTCATTAAACTCAAGCACCCCATCCCCTCCCCCTACCTCAGAAAATGCCAGCTCTTAGCTTTCACTCTTTTTTTACTTCAGAAAAAGAATAGAATAGTTCTTCTTGCTAGAGAGAATAGTTAGAGGGAAGGTTCAGGTTGGACATCAGGAGACATTACTTTACGGTTAAGGCTGCCAGGCACTGGAATGGGCTCCCAAGGGAGGTGGTACTCTCTCCTACCTTGGGGTCTTCAAGAGGAGCCTGGACGTATATTTGGCTGGGGTGATAGGACTCCAGCACCCATTCCTGCCTGGGGCAGGGGGCCGGACCTGATGATCTGTTTAGGTCCCTTCTGACCCTAAGCATTATGACTATGATTTCTGCAAAGAGCTCAGGAAGGCCACACCAGGGCAGGGATTTTTTGACATCATGAATTCCTGTTTGTAATCTCCAGGTTTACTCTGTGAATTACATGCACATGTCTGTATATCTAGCAGTGCTAATAGTGTACAGCACCCTTTAAGGGGATCTCACAGTACCCTAGTTGAAAAAAAAGAAAGAAAGTCATTGCTTTAGACCATGTGTAGTTCTGCTGAGCGCTTAGTCATTGGAAATCAGAGGCATTGGAAGCAATAACGTCTCACTAGGCTCAGCCTAGTGCTTTCCTCCAATGACTCCTCAAAATGGACTGCCGATATTTCCACCAGGAAAGCTACTGTACACATTACCTGGACAGTTCAGTACTATCCTTTAAGTGCTGGGTTTATTTCCCTTCTGAGCCACAGGCTCCCACAGCTGGGTCTCCAGGGTGTCACTCCCCACTTCCATACAACGAAGACAGCAGCACTGCCTGACTTCTGGGACAAGCAATGCTCACAAAAGTAAGAGCAAGCAAGCAAGCTAAGGTTCTGATCAAAGAAGCCTGACTTTCCCCAGTTTTAAAGCACGGTCCCCTCTTTCATCTCTGAAGAGAATCATTGAAGGCAGCAGCTGCTATGTAAAGGGAAGTGCAGCACTTCAAATGGGCACTAACACCTGGTGAAGTCTTCAGAACTATATGGCAAGCTGCACATGGAAGTTAGACGGCTGCTGGTTTTCCTAAAGCTCTCCAAGTACAGGATGTTGTTTAGCCTTCCACTATCAGAAGCTGAATTTCCCAATGAAGGTAACTTATCTGAGCACTGTAGACTGAGCGTATGGACTCCTCTCACAAGGTGGGCACCTGGACGCTAAATTTCAGGATGGTTATGTTCACTGCCCAAATACAGCAAGTGGAAAAGCCCTCTCTGAGCATGTATGTGCAGAGTCACCTGAAGTACTCTGAATGCATTTGGGGATGTTCAGAATGAACGAGGGCAGCCTTAGAAGTGATGAAGCTGGAGGAGAGAACAAGAGTTTCCAATCTGGTTTCAATGCCACTTACTCCTAAGCATGGGTCTAGAAGTGCTCCTGCATCAGTAAGTATTTTCACAGTTTAACTGCGCTAACACAGAAAACAAATGCCACTGTGATTTCTTTGATATGAAACTGTACACGGAAGCATGCATGGCATTTTCCAGAGCCTGTCAGGGGACGGGCAACTTAAAGACCAACTCAACAGGTCACATGGACAACCAACAAGCCAACCCACTATGCAAGATCAAAATTGGAGGGATGATGGAAGAAACTGGCGGTGAAGGAAGAGAGTAAGGCCATACAGCCAGTGACAAGTGGAGAACACAGAACAATTAGAGGTGAAACAGGGGAGCTTCAAACTAGCTGTGATAACAGCAAGTGTATGCAGCAAAGATGTGCAGAGCTTTGACAGCTGTTTCTTAAGGAGGACAAAGATGCAAATACAAGTACCACTTGGAAAGGAAAGTTTGTGGAAGGAGTTCTGGCCTCCATAACCAAAGTGGCAATTTCTGCTTTGCCACAGGGGTACAGCAGATTACTGCACTCTACATTTAACTCTCTCAGGCTTAAAGCACTTGGTCAGAATTTTAAAATGTTGATAGATTTAACGTCCTCATTGTACATGAAAGACCACACAGACCTGTCTTCAGTGAGTTCTCAAAAACCCAGAAGTGCATGCAAACATGGGGCAGCTGTGAAGTCATCACAGTAAGCAAGCAGGATGGTCAAGATTACTAGTCATTCGCACACAGTTACACCAACAATTCCCAAGCCACTGTACACACACACACACACACACACACACACAGATTTTGTTCAATGCCAGTAAGAATCTTAGTCTGTTTGACTAAGCTTGCCTATTTTTATGAGCTGAAAAAAAAAGGAAGATCGGTTTTCATTTGAAAACCAAGCTGCTGTAATTTTAGGGCAGATTTCTTCCAAGTAGCTCCCAGTATGACACTGTCTTCTTCAGACTGAAATCGAGCCCAAAACACCAATTTTTATTTTTTAGAAGTCTCTGGATTTATTTTTGCTACAGCACATCTTTCTCCCTCAACATTCAATCAATTGGAACCTTTCAATGGCAGCAACTGCCAGGGCCCTAACGCATGCAGTTATGCAAGGGATTTAGTGAAAAATTCTCTCTCTTACTGGGCTAACTAGCCATAGAACTGAGGCCAGTAGAAAAAGTGCTAAGAGCAAATAGGAATGCAGAGAAGAAAATGGGGACTGGATCTGGCTGGGGGGCCGGGGGGGGGGGAGGGGGGGGGGCATGGGGAATGGATCTAGCTGGGTGGCCGGGGGGGGGGAGGGAGGAAGGCGAGGGGAAAACAGAACAGGGGACATACAGGTCCTTTGACTATAATTACAAGCAACTGAAGTTTACCTCCATTCCTCAAAAGGGATCAGATTATTTGCTTCAGTTCAAAAGCACTAGCAGTACTGGAAGTAGCGTCATTCAGTTAAGGGGTTTATGCATATCTTAGTCATGCTGACTGAACTAAGTACATTACTTAGAGATGGCGGAAAGAAAGAAACAGAGCTCACAGAAAGCCATCTATGCATCATAGCTATGTATCCATAATATCTTGTGTTTTTGGACTAGATGAACTCTAGAAGTCCCTTCCAGACCTACTTCTCTATCTCAGAGCCAGTTTGAAGATTCATGCAAGATCAAAAGCAAGAGGTCCATCACAAAGCAGCTTACTTCATTGCTTGTATCTGGGCAGAAAACTCTTCACATTCCCCGCCCCCCCACCATTTTAAGGAGAAATGGATATTGTTTATCCGATTAAACTAAGCTGTCTGGAGCGCAAACAATGTATTTGCCCAATAGGTTTGCTGTCAAAAGAGAGTTTATCTAAAACGCTCATTTGCATCACCTTAAATGCGTATTTAATTGCAAGCACAATCCCAGCCACATCAGTAAGCATGTCACTCCTGGTCACACCAAGAAATACCAGGAAATCCTTAAGTCAGGAACTCGTTTAGAAAATCCTTGAAGTGAAAGGAGCCCCAAGCTCACATGGCAGTTTTTGGGGATTATTTGAGCTAGCAATTCCCTGCAAATACAGGGAACTAGACCCTATGGCCCAGGAAGCCAAATCCAGCCCTATACTCCTATGAGTTGTGTGACTGTACCATGACCTTCATGTTAACAGCTTTCAGGCTGTGAGGCTGTTAAAAATGAATTTCACAAGCCAGCGAACTGAAACCAATCAACCTGGCACAGGGAAGTGGAGCTTGGTAATTACAGCTTTGCTAATTTGACTAGCTCAGGCACAAAACCTACTTGCCAACTGGATGTATGCTTCTTAGACACAAGACTGGGGTCAGCTCCTTATTCTGGAAGAGACTTGTGCAGCCTTGGGTAATATACTTACTCCCTGTGTCTCAGCTCTCAAGGGCATAGAAGAGGATTATAAATATGAAAGGATTGTTTAGAACAAATTCTTCAGGACAGATACCAGACTGTAGAAAAGCACTTCATACAATGCCATGTGAGAAATGAGTTACACTGGAGACAAAGGGGACTACCACAAACTTGCAAAGTGAGAAAGAAATGATGGACTGAAGAACAAGCATCACGCTGGAATGGTAGTTCCTAATGGAATTTCTTGGTTGCGGGACTGACCTTGAGTAATGTTTTCATTAATGACCTTGAAGTAGAAAGGAAGAGCATACTAATGGAAACTGCTGATGACATGGAGTCAAGACACTTGTCAATACAGAAACTCAGAATCACATCCAGAACTAGCTAGTCTTGAGGACCAGGATAAGAAAAATGAAGTGAAACTCAGCAACATAAAATGCATGAATTCCTGCTATCAACCAGAAGCTCATCAGCTGGAAAAAGAGGAAGACAGCCCTGAGTATCCCCACTGATCACAGGATGGACTGAGCCATCAAAACAATGTCGCTGTGAAATAGGCAAACACAATCCTAGGTTGCAAGTGATTTTCATTACAGACCAGGCATATTAGTACAAGGCAGGGGTGAGCCCTCATCTAGAATACTGTGAGCACTTCTGATCAGCAACACTCAAAAGAGGAATTGAGACTGGAAAATGTGCGGGGGAGGGCTATGGAAATGATCTTGGAAGAGGAAAGAAAAATCTTGGCTTGTTCAGCCTAGCCAAACAAATAGAGGGAGTGCAACTGCTCTGTGTAAGTACATCAGGGGGCTCTCACCCTGGAGGGAGAAGAGTTATTTCAACAATATTGGTACAAAAACAAATGGATATAAACTAGCCATGAAGAAGTTTAGGCTTGAAGCAGGTGTCTAGTCTTCAGAGGAGTGAGGTTCTGGAATGCACCCTACCTCAACAAGAACAGAAGGAAGCACAAAAAAAAGATTGTTTTCAGCATACAGATTGAGCATCTTATGAATGGAGTTGATGCTATGGTTCAAGGGACTGGAGTCAGTGACCCAGGAGGCCCTGCGTTCCTGCTGTCACCATGCATCTACTCAGTGCCTGATAGAACTGGACCCTTAGCAATGATATGGAACAAATCAAATAAGGCAAAAACCTAAATTGTCTTCACCCACTGTAACATAACACACTAGAATGCATTAAAAACACCACTTTCCCCTAGTCATCTCCAGTCTACTTCCCTTATAACTGGAGAACCGCAAGCAAAATATTTGATGCTAACCCAGTTTCACCTTTTTAAAATGTTAACCTTCCCCACATTCTCCAAGGAGAGGAGACTATAACAAACACTCCCCTTAAATTCCAATCTCAGATTCTTATCACATAAAACATTAATACCAGAGTTAAAGATTCTGAAGGAAATATCCTAGACATAACTGCTCTCTAAACAAAACATGAGAATGTGTGGTGCTGCGTCTGTCAAACAAATGCCTCCCTTGAGATCTACCTAAACAATTCTGTGCTATAATTACATTCATCAGGTACAGTGCATCTGCTCAGAGAAGTTCAATGATGCCTAACTGTTTGTCAAAAACTCCAGTGAGGCTAAGCTGTGCATCCAGGCAATGAATGTTAGGCGCTTTTTTTTTTTTTTTAAAGAAACTTTATAATTTTCTGTTATGTTCAGGCTTGGATCTTTCCAAATCAACGGTATCAGTATACCATCTCACCTTTTTGGAGCAAGTAAAACACAGACAGCCTACATAAAATATGCATTAGTGGATGTTCCCTGTGACCTTTCTGGGGAATAGTGCTTACCAAGGACAGATGGGGGTGTTGGCAGAAAGATTTTTTTTGATCATGGCATTTCATTCTGCCAAGACAAAAATACAATGATAATAAAAGTGACGAATGAATGAATCCCTAATGGACTTTATCAAGAACACAGCAGGACGTTTACATGAAATAAGTTTTAATCACATTTCTAGCATCCTCAGGTGCCACAAAGGAAAAAAGATTGCTAAACATAAAAATTATCTGACTTTACTCTCCAGTGCCGTCAATCTGGCGCTTGCTTTAAAAAAAAATCAATTTAAAAATAAAAATTACATCTGCATCTTAGAACAAGATTAAAATGTCTTTCTATAACCTTATCAGATGACGAAGACCTGCTGTGTCTAAGATAAAGAAGGGCACCCAAGCAAAGTTATAAAGATGACATTCATTTGTTCAGGATGTTATTTTGGCTTCTAAGGGAAGATAAGCAAAGCACAGGACTTCTACTAACAGAAAGCCTAGTCAGGTAGGTAAACACCACTTAATAGATAACACCACCCAAGAGAACTTTTCCCTCTAAAATGTAATAATCTTCTCTCACTCGGGTTCAAGTTTGGGAACATCTGCTTTGTACTGTGCCAAAGGCACTGCTGTTTTACATTGTTGATCAGAAAAAGTAGGGATTCTGTGGTACAAATGTGCCAACTGTCAGTTACAAGGCACTGAGATTTCCCTCTCCCCAGGCAGGTTTGTCCCTCTCCCCAAGGACATACCTTGGGCTCCCCATCCCCAAGCCACGGAAGGGACAAGACTGCTCTAACAAACACGCTGCTTTAGTTGCCCTTAAGCCCTAGCTGGAAGACCATTCTTCTGCTGATCCTTTTCACTTGGGTACATTTCACCTTAAGAGACCGAATCGATGAGGAGCTCCTCATTTAAGAAATGACTAGTTGCAGCTCAGTTGTAGCATTCCAAGCTATTCAGATTTTAAAGAATTCTCAACTGTCTGCATAACTCCAATAAGCGTTTGGGTTTAACACTCAGATTCCAGAGTTCAAACCAGCTACTGCATTGCCCCTGGTTACACCTATTTAACTTGACCGACTTAACAGACATTTCCCTGAGAAGATGCCAGCATTCATGGCAATTAATTCAGCATCTCTTTCAAAGGCTATTGGGCACCATCTGCTGGTGAGTACCCAGGCAAACTGCTGCTCAAAGGCTTATTGTTCAGTGGGGTGATTTCCTCATCAAAGGCTTTCAAATTCTGAGTGACAATTTTTTTTTTTATTAGAGACTGGATCCAGGTAGCTGCCAGACATTTTTCCTCACCCTTGTTTCTGAACCCTTAAAAGCAACAAGCAACTTTAATGTAATACTATATGGTAATAAGTGCTCTACAACTTCAAGGGTTTGGGTTGTAGCCATGTTGGTCTAAGGAAATAGGCAGACAAGGTTCCTTGGGTGAATTTGATATCTTTTATTAGACCAACCCAAATGGTTGGAGAATAGTTATTAAGCAAGCTTTCGGGTTCAAAAACCCTTCATCAGGTTTTTGAACCCGAAAGCTTGCTTAATAACTATTCTCCAACCATTTGGGTTGGTCTAATAAAAGATATCAAATTCACCCAAGGAACCTTGTCTGCCTACAACTTCAAAGCACTTTACAGAATATTAACTCATTTTCATAACAAGTCAAGACTGACTGCTACAGATTGGAACACAGGCCATGGTGCAAAGTCAGGAGACTTTCACCACAGATCCTCTGACCCTCGCACCGAACTCAACGAAGAGAGCCAACAGTAAACCAGAATTAGAACTCTGCCCCACAAGGCCCAAATTCACTGATTAGGAAACAGGATAGTTAGAAACTATTGCTGGCGCTGCAAAGGAAGACGTATCTTGTGATGGGTCCCATATACAGCAGGAAAGGCATGCAATTCCCTCACTCCCAAATCAGGCAAAAGACCACGGCAGGTTGAAGAAATTTACTTGTCCACAGATATTCAAGATGTTTATACCTGGGGTTCAGTCCCAGGCAGAGATTCATCAAAATTTACAGTAACTGCCACCAGGACAAACAGGCAAATAAATATTAAACAAAAAAAGGAAGATGTTTAAGGAGCACTTGTTTTAGCATCAAATAATTGCTTTATTTTTTAATATAAAAATATACATTTACAAAGAAAATACAAACAAGCCTCTGACAACATTACAAAAACATAAAGGGGGAAACTGGCATGAGGATGGAAGGGGGAGGGAGGGTCCTATTCCTAAGTCATTTAGTCATGATCAGCAAATCATGCAGCAAAAGTGTTTCTCCAAGTGGCTGTGCTACACGAAAGTCCATGTTCAAACCACTTGCCTCAAAAAACTTTGATTTAGAGAGTTCAGGCCAATAAGCCACTTATTTCTGTGCTCATTTTTGGCCTTAACATGACTTTCCCTCACAATAACATCAATCTGCCTCCTGCTTTTACTTGCCATTTATAAGCTCCAGTGCCTCATCTTTGGTCCGTGTGATCTTTTCCTGCCTCCATGATGAGGGCCTTCTGGACTGGTTGTGTTTCACCAAAAGATGTGAGCAGCGCACTTTGGCCGGCTCCCCCTGGCCATTTTTCCCACCTCCGCTGGGGCGCTCCCATTGGCTGGCATTCGTAATGTGGTTGAAGTAATACACACGGCCTAGAAACAAGAAGGAAAAGAAAACCAGGTCTTTAGAAGATCCACAGCAATAGCCTCTTGCTTATCCCAGCAGATAAATTCTGGATTTCTGCAGGTGGGTGAAAATGTGGATGTCAGCTCACTGCAGAATCAGTGCAGAGGCTGGGAATACTTAACATCCCCATAATAACAGGCTGTCTCAGCATTACAGATTCAGTCTATTAGAACTCTCTACCAAGGTTTTCTAGTGAGAAACAAAGATGCCCTGAGCAAAGCAGCTGCTCCACTCAAAACCAGACTCTTGACACCATCTCCCTTTCCAAAGTTGGGCAAGTCACTTTTACTTCAGTGAAAGTGAGATCAGGGTCTATGTCAAAAACTCTTGAAACCTTCCCAAAATAGCACTTTGCAGCTTAAGTGCTGGCTGGCTCATTTGTAAAGCACCGATTATTCTTATGGAAGCAGCGAGTGCCTGCAGCTTTCCTGAGTCACATGACACCAACACATCTTCAGAAGCAGCACAGCGACATAGTGGAACTCTGCCCATTTTACCCCTGCAGCGAAGGTGAATGGTGCCGAGTTTCTGACACAGGGGGATTGTGTTTCATTCCAATCTAGCTTGCAACTGAGAGCACAAAGTATGGCAAAAATCCCTATCTATTTAAACCGGGTTTTTGGTTGTAGCTGTGTTGGTCTAAGGTCATAGACAGGCAAGGTTTTTTGAGTAAATGTGGTATCTTTCATTAGACCCATTGAGTACTCAGTTGGTCTAATAAAAGATATCACATCTACTCAAAGAACCTTGCCTGCCTATGTATTTAGATACATTTAGGGGGTAACAGTATTCTAATAAACAGATCCTTCAGTTAACAGGGCACAGTTTTCAAAGCAGCAATCACCTCTAACTATGCCGGGTGTTATACAAACAAGGGACCCCTGACCCTGAACTGACCTTTGCAGGCTGGAAACAAAAAAGACACTCCTCCAAAACAAATCAGCCCTTTCTTTATCAGGAAAGGGCAGGCTTTCCCAGAAGCAGCCAAGAGTTTGGGGACACTGCTCTGAGATCAAGACAGCTAAAGCAATGTCCCAGCACTGCTGGAGCACCAACTGTAAAGGGTCCCCAACCCGCAGGATGAGGTCCACTCATTCATGCACTGGCAGGAGCTCAGGCCCTGACTAAACAAATTGTGAGCACCTCCGACATCCTAAGAGGTGCCAGCCCAGGTCCAGAGCTCTGGGGCACTGCAATCACTGGACAAAAACCCCGACAACGGCCGGGTCCCTGTACACCGGGGGGGAGGGGGGCAGGAACAAAAGGCAATTGTAGTCTCACGACAAAGGGGACAAACCTCTGCTTGGCCAGGGAGGGGCCTAGACCCGCCTGGGCTCCCGAGGGAGCTCCGGGATCAGCGTGCGCTTTCCAGAGCCGCCCCCCGCCCCCATGCTCGGGGCCCTACGACGCATATCCCTCCCCAGAACCTCTCCCCCTGCCGGCGCGTGGCAGCTCCCCGGCCCCTCCCCCCGCACGAGGCGAGGA